ATTTTATTTTCAATCCTCACCCAAGACATGTTTTTATTGGTTTTTACAGAGAGAGTAAGGGAGAGGATAAGGGAGGGAGGGAGGAAGAGAGAGAAACATCGATGTGAGCGAAAAACATTGATGTGAGACAGAAACATTGATTGGTTGCCTCCTATATGCTTCCTGACCAGGGATCCAACCCTTAAAACCTTTTGGTGTACGAGACGACACTCCAGCCAACTGAGCCATCTGGCCAGGGCACTATTGACATTTTGGACTAGATAATTCTTTGTTGTGGGAGCTGTCCTGCACATTGTAGGATGTTTAGCAGCATCCCTGGCTTCCACCCACTCTGCCCATAGTAGCCCCAAATCATGACAATCAAAAATGTCTCCAGACACTGCCTGATGTTCCCTGGAGGACAAAAGCACATCCCCAGTTGAGAACCATTGCATTATAATACTGAACAAGCATTTGCTATCCTTGACTGAGATGTAGTTTCCTCATCTGTGCAATGTGGTTAATAATCCCTGCCTACTGCACAGGATAAAAACATTTGTACAAATGCCCTGTGTGTTTTTAAGTACTGTGTACAAATAAGTTGTTGGATTAAGCTGGCAGCAGAACTCAGCTCTGGACTTTATTTCTGCCAATATTTCAGTGCAGAGTCTGAACTGAGCATGTCAAGTCATGGGGATGGGTCACTGGCCTTATGACTTGTGGAAGGTTCTCTGCTGAGTCTTTATTCAGTTAATTTTGTCTTTCATTAATTTGGGGGGCCCTGTGAAGTTTGCCGTATCAGACTATATTCCTTAGTTCCCAAAGGTACCATAAACAATTCTGCGCTGAATGTTTCTATCCATAAGTTTTTGCATACCACATTATTTGTTGAGGATAAATTGCTAGGAGTGAAATTGCTGGATCAAGGACATGCAATTTTGAATGTGTTTTATACATATGTATTTCCAAATTACTCTTCATAAAAGTTTATATCCTCTAGTTGTATATATAGCCGCTCTTGTCCCTGAACTCTTACTGAGTTATTTTTTTTAGAGTTTGTCAGTTTGATAGAGAACAGATGGTATCATATTTTTGTTTAAATTAATTATTTTCATTACTAGATTAGTTTACCATTTCATGTTTATTGGCCATTTACAAGTTCTTGTTTTGGGCATTACCTGTGACTATTCTTTGCCCATTTTCTTTTAAAATGCATACCTTTTTATCCCATTCCTTCATTTATTATTGAGCACCTTTTATATGCTAGGGCCGGACAGTCTATGGACAGCACAGACAAAATCCCTGTGATTAAAGAGCTTATATTCTAATGTAGTGAGGCGGAAAAGAAATAAATATGTCATTTGACAAGTGGGGATGGGACTATAAAGAAAAGTAGGCATGAAAAGGAGGTAGATAATGATGGGGTAGAGGAGGGAAGGGATGCTGTTTATAAAGGTGGTCAGAGGAGCCCTCACTGATAACAATGAATTTAAGTGGAGATTTGAAGAAGATTCAGGCACAGTCACTGTAGATATTGGGAAAAGTATTATAGGCGGAGGGAACAAAGTGCAAAGGCCCGAAGGCAGGACTGTTTTTGAGTGAGGGGTACAGTTAGGAGGTGAATTTGAGAGGCAGCAAGGAGTCAGGGAGTGGGCTGGATGGGGAAATACAAACCAGGCAGGGCCTTAGAGCCAGAGTAAGGAATTTGGATTTCATTCTGAGCAAGATGGGGAGATAGTAGAGAGTTTGGAGTAATGAAGTGACATGACCAGACTCTGTATGTATTTTTCAAGATCTATTTGGCTTTATTAAGTAATTCATGGATTGGGCAGCATCCCATCTAGCAACTAGAAGGGTACTCCCAGGTCAGATGTTTTAAAAGAACATTGGTGGTGGTAGTGGAGACTAGACTGTGAGGGACAGTGGTGAAATCTGGAAGACCAGTTAGGAGCCCCTTGCAGTATGCCAGGTGAGAGAATTTAGTGATGTGGAGGCAGTGACAGGTGATTCTGGATATATTTTGAACATAGAAGCAGTAGATTTTGCTGATGAGTTGGATGTGAAGTGTGAGAGAAAGAGGAGCTAAAGATGATGCCAGTGTTTGGCCTGAGCACCTGGTAATGTAGTTGCCATTTGCTGAGATGGGGGAGTAGGGCTATGTGGGAAAAACAGGTTTGGTAGTGGTGAAATCTGAATGATTTGTGAGAGCTTTTTAATCTGATGAAATATATTAATCTTTTGTCAGTTAGGTAGAAATCGTTTCCCCCAACCCCAATTTGCACCTTGTCAGTGGTGTTTCGCTGTATAGAAATGCCAGTTTTTTATTTTGTCATAGTTTTTGGTTTTGCTGTCATGTCTAGAAAAACTCTAAAAATAATCACCCATGCTTTCTTTATATACTCTTATTGTCCTGTATTTGCATACTCTTTATATACTCTTATGGTCCTCTTTAATCTGGGTGGAATTAATTTTGTTATAGACTGCGAATTACAGTTCAATCTTAATTTTGCTCAAATAATTAACTTGTTATCCTGGCAGCATTAAGTAATTTGTTCTCTGCTAAGAGAAATGATTATATCATTCCCTCTGAATTGGGGTGTGTGGCAGGTTGTTTAGAAATATTCTGTTACATGTTAGTGTTTCTCAAGCCCCTGGTCTTATTTTCAGTTGATGACTTGGTGATTATAGGTTCTGAGTATACTAGATTATAAACATTTGTCTTCTGAGTCTCTTCCATTCCCAAAAAAGGTACTTGCTTTAGAAGTTGGCTTTCATCGGTTTCTCTCAGTGACTGTAAATTCTGCCTTGTGGATGATATGTGACCTGTTTTTAACCACAGCCTATGTCCTGCCACCAAATATGCCTTTTCTAAAAATTATCTCAAGTTTTCAACTGATAATTGTTCCTAGATTGTAAACTAAAATTTGCTTCAGCAACACAAAATGAATTACAGTGCATATTACAGATTCCAAAGCCCTATAACCTTTATGTTTTCCACTTTTACAGTCTCTGTACTCTAGTCCTTCTCTGATATGTGGATTATTTAGAGGTGATAATAGTATTTAATTTGCTGGATATTTTTTTTTCTTTAAAGCAAGAAATGGATTTCTTTTTTTTAAATATATTTTTTTTTGTTTTGTTTTCCTTTTTTATTTCAGAGTAGAGAAAGAGATAGAAACATCAATGATGAGACAGGATCATTGATTGGTTGCCTCCTGCACGCCCCCTACTGGGAATTGAGCCCACAACCCAGTCATGTGCCCTTGACCGTGAATCGAAGCTGGGACCTTTCAGTTCTCAGGCCGATGCTCTCTCCACTGAGCCAAGCCAGCTAGGGCAAGAAGTGGATTTCTTATGTTATTAATAATGTTTATGAAACTTTATAGTTGGGTGAAGTCTTCAGCTTGTTTACCTTAGAAATTTGTGTCAAGGCTGATTGAACCTAACTTTCTTAAATGTTTTATTTTTTTTGCAGAAAGGGAAATATGAGGTTCCTAAGTGGCTCTCTCCCAGTAGCATTCTGCTTCTTCAACAAATGCTACAGGTAAACTTTGTTACTTAGTATTTTTAAATAATAGAAGTCTATTGGAATGGTTCGGCTCAACTGTAATATGTCTGTGGTGCTACTACTATATTTGGAGGACAGCAAATTTAACTGTTAGCTTAAAAATTGCATTTATTATGTCTGCTGTACAAACATTCTCTACTAGATGCTTTCTTAATTCTGTTGCAAATGCATTTTTTAGACCTCTGTTGCATGTCTTTGCTGATGTGGTTTTTCCTCCTTTTTCTTGAGCATTGTCTGTTTTCTGTAACCAACTCTTGCTCCACTCTCTTCTGTTTCCTTGCCCCCCCACTCTTGTACATTAGGTATGTAGTAGATACTTAATATAAGCTTGAGTGAGCTGATGTACAGCTGGGTGGCCCCCGTGATCTACTTAGTGTAGTGGTTCTCAAATGTTAGCATGTGTCGCAACTGTCAGATGGACTTGTCAAAACACCTATCGCTGGGCACCACCGTGAGGATGTCTGATTCAATAGATCTGGGGCAAGACTAAGAATTTGTACTTCTTACAAGCTCCCAGCTGACACTGAGGCTGCTGGGACACACTTTGAGAACCACTGATTTAGAAAAATGGCCTCTGAGTGAAAGTCAGGAATGCTGAGGTCTAAGTATCCACCCTCCCAATAATATGCAGGCCACCTACTCTAGTTCTGATCTATAAAAGGGTGATTCTGGGTTTGGCCTCTCTGCTGTGTATTGTTACGAGGATAACATGAGATTAATAGGAAACACTTTGAAAATATGAATACCTTATTAGTGCAGGTTTTTTTTCATTATTATGTATTCAGAATATCTCCCAGTTTTTCCATCTATTAAGTTCCTTCTCCACTTTTTATTCAAAATTTACCTTAGGTTCACTCACCTTGATTAAGTAGGGCCAGACCACCAAATCTCTATAACAAGATTGAAAACTCCTCGTCCTTTCTTTTAAACGCCAAAAAACTTAATCTTTGTTGATTAATTTTCCTCTCCTCGTATTTGAAAATTACAAATGGAAAAGAAAGGTGTGCTTTTCAACTTGTTCTATGTGATTGTAAGCTCCTCGGGAGGTAGAGATTGCATATTCAGTATGAATGCCCTGCATTGTGGCTGCTTGAATATTAAATTGGTGAATACTTCCTGTGAATAGGTTTTCCAGCAAAAGACTATTACATCATACAATAGATTGGCTGAACTTCATGAATAATGTCCATACCAATGAAGTTCGTGTTTGTTAAACATTCATCTCCTAAGCCTATGTTGGTTGCTATAGTTTTCTTGCTTCTATTGCCTTTCTAAAAGAATTTATTCCAAGGCCATTTTAAGGTCTTTGACAGCATTTTTGTGATGATAAAGTTTACATCTGTTCTGATGAATTTTGAGTTCTCAGGAGGAAAAGAGTTGTTCTATGTCCTTCGTTTGGAATGCTAATCTCTAGCTACTTCTCCATGGCCACTAGGTGGACCCAAAGAAACGGATTTCTGTGAAAAATCTATTGAACCATCCCTGGATCATGCAAGATTACAACTGTCCTGTTGAGTGGCAAAGCAAGAATCCTGTAAGTAAAATGAAATCCAATAGAAATTTAAAAATAAATTGTGTAAATTCAGAATCTGCAATGATGTAGTCTAAATATAAAAGAAAGTGTACTTAATAGACTTATTTGTCAGATTGTTGTTTGGGAGACTTGCAACCTGATTATGTACATTAGCCTGTTTCTCTCTAGGAGTGTGGTTATTAACCCAGACTGCATGAGAATCACTGGGACCTTTAAAATGATGCTTTTGCCCCATCTCAGAACAATCTATGGATATTGTTAAAGCTCCCAGGTATTTCTCATGTGTAGTCAGGATTGTGACCAGTGCTCTGGGAATCATGGGCAAGTTATTTAACATTATCAAAGCTATTTATTTTCTGTAAAAAAGTAGGTTAAACCAGTTCTGTCTACTTTCCAGAGTACTTATGAGCATATCCTAGTAGTCCTTTATGCTCTTAATATTTATTTACTGATTTACTTAAAAATAGTAAACCTATTACATTTGATCACAAATCCATATTTTTATGAAAAATAACAAAAATAAATTTAGTAAGAAGAGTAGCATTGTACATTTTTGAAAATTTCTTTAAAGTCTAGCTTAATAGAAGACACTGGGATCTGATGTGCATTTCTGACTGCTCATTGGCTAAGCTTGTGGTACTTGTAGTGTTCTTGGTAACTTGGGTAATAAAAATCCAAGAAGGTGATCTAGGGTTTTTCCACCTCACTCCTGGAGAAAAAAACAGAGGTCCTCTGTTGGAGAGGCTAAGAAATGTCATATCCTGCCCTTGCCGGTTTGGCTCAGTGGATAGAGCCTCGGCCTGTAGACCGCAGGGTCCCAGTTGGATTCAGATCAAGGGCATGTACCTAAGTTGCAGGCTCCTAGTTGTTTGTTTTTTTAAACTTTATTTTTATGGTTGATGCTATTACAGGTGTCTTTATTTTTCCCCACCTTTGCCTACCTCCACCCTGAGCCCCCCACCCCCTTCCCTCTGGCCATCACCACATTATTGTCTATATCTATGATACATATACTAGAGGCCAGGTGCATGAAAATTCGTGCACTTGGGGGGAGATCCTTCAGCCAGGCCTGCCCCCTCTCACAGTCCGGGAGCCCTAAGGGGATGTCCTACTGACAGCTTAGGCCCGTTCCTTGTAGGGAATGGGCCTAAGCCACAGTCTGGCCTCCCTCTGAGGTAGGCAACTGGAATGATCATGGGAAGGCACTGCCCCCATCACCCTGCGGCTACTGCCACTGCCGGCCGCCACAGCTGCCACCCCTTGGCCCTCGCAGCCGCTGCAGTGTCTTCATGAACAGGGATTCCAGTCCCTTCACCACGAATAAATGACAACTTTCTTTAGACATTTTCAAGATTTCTCTTTCACAGGATATGACATTTCTTTCTTTTTTACCCTCACCTGAGTATGTTTCCATTGATTTTTAGAGAGTGTGGAAGAGAGAGGGAAAGACAGAAACTTCAATGTGAGAGGGACACATTGATTGGTTGCCTCCTACATGAGCCCTGACTGGGGCCCGGGCCAGGGAGGAGCCTGCAACCTAGGTACATGCCCTTGATCTGAATCCAACCGGGACCCTGCGGTCTGTAGGCCAAGGCACTATCCACTGAGCAAAACCGGCGAGGGCAGGATATGACATTTCTTAGCCCCTCCAGCAGTGGACCTCTGTTTCTTTCTCCAGGAGTGAGGTGGTGAAACCCTAGATCACCTTCTTGGATTTTTATTACCCAAGTTACCAAGAACGCTGCAAGTACCACAAGCTTAGCCAATGAGTGGTCAGAAAAGGTGTTTCCTGTGCAGCTCACGTGCAGAGGTGGGATTTCTGGCGTGCCATGGCTGCCGGCCCTCTCCGGCCCTCACAGCCACCGTGGCTGCCTGCCGGCCCTCTCCGGCCCTCACAGCCACCGTGGCTGC